TACGCTTCCTCTTGGATTGGCTCACCTTTAACCAAGTAACAATGTCACGTGATGACGTCATAACAACGTTATGGTGCCCCGGATCTTTGCAACCTCCGACGTCTTGCTGACGTCACTAATCAATAATGGCGACATCTGCCGTGATACTTTTTAAAAGGAAAAGTTAACGCCAAGTGTTTCATTGGGCATCTAAAGCTTTCTCCATAATACTGACTGGTAAGTTGCCAATCATTTGCATTCAATACAGTGTTCCCTTTTTGTTTGCATGCGTTGCATTTGAACGCAGCGCGTATTCCGCCAGTTAAGCACTGAGTGGTACCGTTGAGTGACGTAAACAAGCAGTTCTTACCAGGCCGTCCAGAAGGCCCAAAAGGTGGCTGGCGAGCTCCGACTCCCAGTCCCCACATGGGTGGAGCCACCGGGCTGGCCCCCGTAAGGGGTGCCCAGTCCCCTTCAGGACCTTTAATAAAGTTAATTCTCTCTCTCTCTCTTTCAATTTCTGCAGCATTTAAAATCGAGCCGGCTGAACCCTCGAGTGAAAGCATGCATAAACCGACGCTGAAAAGAGAAAAAGAAACAAAAAAAACAACCCTTCATGGTTGAGTGAGAAAGCAAACCACTGCGACATAAAAACTAACGAGGCCGGGCGAGTGGACTCCCACGAGACACAACAGCTTGCGAAATCTTATTCAACACCTTCTTTCTTAAACGCGCTTTCTTCCAGGTCCACTTAAAGAGGACCCTGATTTGCAAGAGAGCTCCCCGTGAACGATTCGCGAGGCAGCGCTAACCATGCATTCATCGCGAAATGAGTTCTGCGGCATCTTTCTCACTCTATTACTGCGAGGTCTCACGTAGACGACACTGAATCAGACGGACGTAAGAAAACAACAAAAACACGTCAAACCAAAACTACGGGAAGTGAAGGAGCAACAGTCATGAATCATCCGAGAAGCCAAGAGTCAGTATTCATTAGCGGCGCACGCGCAAACGAGACCACGCCGTCCCATGCGGCGTTTCCCAGAGGATTGCGTCCGAAGCACGCGTTCGTATGCTAATGCGGGGCAATTGCTGCGGCGAATACGTACATGGTGGCTCAAGAACGACGTCTGACTGCGTAAAGCGGGTTTCATTTCGAGAAAGCAGTGACGGTCCCTATAAAGGACAAAAATGAGCTCGTACATCACACGCAGTGGTTAAAGGAGCGGTAGGCGGTGCACGTATATATGAAGACGTTACAGAAGCTGACGGCCAAGCAGTCACACTCCGTGATCATCTTGTGGATTTTGTTGTTGTTGTTGTTCGCCACGGGCATTAGAATTCAAGCCATGGTTACTGCAAGGGCAGCATCCAACAAAGGCACGGTATAACTCGTTCCGGTCCACGTTGTTACTATGGCTACAAACCAGCACCGACAAGAAGGAACAGTCTCGGCATTGCAGGAGGCGAAGTCAATTCCACCCGAAGCCTGTAGAGCGCTCCGTCCAGTGCAATGAGCCCAGGCTGTTTCATAGATTGTCATCCCAGAATAGGGACCCTCCCCGTCTCCATCGCACTTCTATTATCATCAGCCTGACAAAGCCTATTGCAGGGCTAAGGCCTCTCCTATATGTTCCGTCATTCAACCTGACCCTATGCTTGATGCGGCCACGTCACACCCAGAAAATTTTTAATCTCATCTGCGCACCGAACTTGGTCTTCTCCTCGCGCATTTAGCCTCTGTTGAAATTCAGTCGGTCACTCGTAATGGCCGGGTAGCGCGTGGAGCGCGTAGGCATCTTGCCTACGCGCTCCACGCGCTACCCATGTCCGTTTCTTCTTGATTTCAATGTCCGTAACACCTGTTTGTTCCCTGACCCATTACGCTCTCTTCTTGTTCCTTGAGGTAACACCTATTTTATTTTATTTTGCTAGCTGCGTCGTCCTCCGTTTAAGTTGAAACCTCTTTGTAAGCCTCACATTTTCTGCTAAAGTACCGGTAAGTTGCAGCAGTGATATACTTCCTTTTGAGGAATACTGACAAACTACCATTCTTGCTTTGAGATTGCTTGCTGAATGTGCTCCACCACATATTTATTATTTTACTTGCTTCTTTCTCATGGCTCGGATCTATGGTTGCTACCTGTTCTAAATAGACATATACATTTGCAGTATTCAGTGATTCACAACCTATCGTGTAGCACTGTTCTCATCCCAGAAGTTTTCACTTCAGTTTTGTGCACATTAATTTTCAGACCTACTGTCCTGCTTTCTTTGCCCCATTCAGTAATCATGACTTGCAGTTCTTCCTCTGAGTTACTCATCAATTCAATATCATCAATGAGCCGTAGGTTACCAGGGTGCACTCCAGTAACTAGTATCCCTAACACATCCAGATTTATGGCCATGAAAACCTCCTGTGAGCACGCGGTACTCAGGAGATCGTGTCTCCCTGCCTACAACCTTCTTTATTGGGACTTTTGTACCTGTATCACTATGCCAGATGAGGCCTATACACTGCACTGCAATAAAGAAATGTTTTCGTCATCCACCCTCGTTTGAATTCTATCAATGCAGTTTTATACCATTACAGTTAGCACATGCCACAAGAGCGAAAGCGTTTTATATACGAGATATAGACTGTGTTAGGGAGTACAGTCTGAAACACACTCCATTTTTCTGGGAAAGAAAAAAAACTGTGGCTGATACAGCTAACTCGCTGTTCCAGACTCGTGTGATTCCAACTGTATGCAGTCAGGTCCGTTGGCTCACAGCAAGAAACGCTGCCACAGCGCGAAGACTCAACAAGATGGCATGCAAAGTAATCTTTGCTGAGCATCGAAATAGTGCTCTTATCAGGAGTCAGTCTTGTTCTGCACAATTAAAACCATCTCGCATGTCCTCTAACTATATTAAATATGACGCCTGCTAGCTCCACAGTCTAGAGAATCAGTTGCATGCTCCCTATATTTATTCGCCATATACTTTGGATCGACTGCCCTCCGTAACATGCGACATCATTCGAGTAAAATATGTGTGAATTAAATAGAAAACAATGAATTCAAGGTGATACGACGACCTTCTCATGCTGAGCAACTTTCAGCCTACTTATTATGCGCGCAAGGTTATCACGCTTTTGAATGTATAGAGTCCTCTCAGTTTTTCATGAGTGAGTACTTACAGCGTGCCGCTGAAAGGAGGCTCGAGCGTCTCGAGCGATTTCTCTCGCATCAGCCGCCAGGGATCGTTTCGAAAAGCTCCACGAGCGATTCTCTCCGGTGGCGCGGTGCCGCGTCCGAGAACCCGCGCAGAGGTCCAGTCGGCATCTCATTCAACGACGCCCTTTGAACGCTTCCATCCCACCGTTCAAGACGGACAACCAGTTTTTTCCCACGATCCCGCTCGCTTGGCCACTAAGCAGTATATTTGCGGTGAAGGAAGCATATCGAAGTGCGCATGCGCCAATTCTTCTCAATGAAGACGCACGTGTCAGCCAGCCATGTCTGAAATCACGCTCTAGAGGCGAGATACGTTGGATGGACGACGGGAGCCTTCGAGGCTCAAAGCGACAGCGGTGGCTGCCAGCTTTCCGAAACACGCCACGCTAATAAGCGAGCCGCGGGTGATCACGCCTGCCGGCTGTGCTGACGTGTAGCGCAGTGTGCCACAAGACAGCCGTGACCTCTGTGGCCAGCGGGAGACGAATGGCTGCTGAACCCACGCTCAATCGAGAGAGAACCACATTCAGATTCACAAGGTCTTGCATCATTCCTCTTGCGACAAGGATGATATTAAATCAAGCCCAGCTCGCTCCTCACCTGGAAAAACAGTCTCAGCAATTGTATCGGTTGTAAAACGGCCCAGCAAAAAGAAGCAGTTGAGAATATTATCACACCAGACAATTTACAGCTGCCCAACATCAGTTTTTATTCCCGCTGAAAGTGCAACTATTATGTGGTCATGTTACTCATTCCGAATAGCTGAACACTAGAGTTATCGACATTCTAAGTGAGCCGATTTGTTGATTATTGATTATTTATTTGATTGATTGATTGATTGATTGATTGATTGATTGATTGATTGATTGATTGATTGATTGATCGGCTTTCCCGTCCTAGTAGGCTAATATGACGCTGCTTTGTAGCTTACAAGAACGCAGTTGAAAGACTCCTCATCAACCTCAACCGTCTGGGATACTTGACGTACACTTATAGCGTAAGGGCATTCGCATCCCATAGCGGCCTACAGAAATAAGAAACCACGACCTTCTTCTCAACAATTCAACTACGTAAACCACTGAGTAGTGAGCCACTGATGCTATACAGCACGTTACACATAGCATCAACATACCATAACCTCCCAGCAGTGGACGGACAACACAAACGAGGGAGTCAGCTATGGGTGGGCAAGAATTCGCTGGCAACCTTACCGCGCGAAGCCATTTTTTTTTCGATTCGCCTTGGTGCAGGGTAGCAAACCACATGCTACAATTCTGGTTGACTTCCACACCTTTCTTTCATTTTATTCTCTCCCTCTCTCTGTGTTCGTGTCTTTTCGCCCTCTCACCCAAACCTGTGTTTAACGATGGTCGCGCGTAGTTATGCATCTATTCAACGAGCCCGCTTATGTGTTTAGCACCATAACCTTCATTTCTATTCACCCCCGACTGCCCTACTTCCGTCCACGAAAATAGGGAAGAGGAGAACCTAGACGCTGCAACGTTATTACATTAGGTAGTCTAGTAACGTTGATCCAGTTGGTGGCTAACACCCCACGCCCTCCCATTAGTTTTCCCCCGGCAAAATGAGAAAGCTGAGCCTTTGAGCCGGAACTAAAATATATTGTTTAGAAGTGTGAAAATCAGCTATTCAATTGAAATTTCTGCGCGCTTACAGGCCAGCGGAAAGTTGTGGGAACAAGCTGATAAGGCGCTGATTAAAATAATATTCGCGATGAACAATTAGCAGGGCACGTAGTCATGTGCTTTTGGTTCCGTCTACAGCCGGTTATTCTTTTCACAGGTGCTCTGCGCTGGTGCCTCACAGTGGGAGTCTCCCTTCTTCTCTGCGCCACTTGCAGCACAGGTGAGGCCCGACCTTTCGTCGGAACCAACCTTACGTACCAATCAATAGGAACGTTGAAGCACGCAGAAAATAACCTATAATATGTTACATAAAGATGAGGATATGGGGGTTATAAGGACCTAATTATGAGCGCGGATTCAGGCTCTTCAAGGAAAGGTTTCCCTTTTGTGATGGCAATCGATGAAGGTGTTCGTGAGGATGGTTGTCATAATTAATCAGTAATATTAACAATAGCAAGTTTATTCGAGTGCCGGTTAGTGTTCTTGCTACAGTACTAGCTGAAAAGACGGAGTTCATATGTTTATCACGTGCCATACGCACGCACAGGTTGGGAGGGGGGCCCTTCAGAGCCACTGCCCCTGGTCACCTAAGAGCAGGGCGGGGGAAGTCAGCCTAACACTGGCCCAACACGACAGAATAGAGGGGGGGAGGAAGGGGCAAAGTCAGCGTTCTACTGCAGCGTGTCCCTTCCTATGCCAGAAAGCATTTAGAAAGCCGACATTTTTGAACAGTTTAATTAGGTAGTAAACTTAATACGTCTGCTGCTGCTGATGTTTCGCACGTATACATCATGAAGGATGAGAACACACATACACACCAAGTATGAATAAAACGTCAGCGCTAACGTTGCCATTTGAAAAAAAAAAAAGGGGGGGGGGGCTGTCCCATGTCTTGTAATCTCATATATAGGCCATTTCTCAAGGGGATTTGCCGTGAGCATTCGAGAAACGTGTCTATACGTATCTCTCATCATCATCATCAGCGTGACTACGCCCACTGCAGGGCAAAGGCCTCTCCCATGACCAGCCAATCAACCTGGTCTTGTGCTTTCTGCTATCACGTTGTACCTGCGAAATTTTTTATCTCATCGGCCCTTCTAACTTTCTGTCTCCCCTTCGTGTGTTTGCGTTCTCTGGGAATCCAGTCAGTTACCCTTAATGGCCAGCGGTTATCCTGCCAACGCGCTACATGCCCGGCCCATGTCCATTTGTTCTTAATTTCAACTATGTTATACTTAACCCCGATTTGTTCCCTGACCCACTCTGCTCTCTTCTTGTCTCTTAAGGTTACCCCTATCATTTTCTTTCCATCGCTCGCTCAATTTAGCTGTACGCTCTTAATAGGCCTCCAGGTTTCTGCTCCGTAGGTAAGCTCTAGCAAAACACAGCTGCTATATACGTTCCTCTTGAAGGTTAGTGGTAGATTACCATGCATGATTTGAGAATGCGTGCCGAATGTGATCCACCCCATCCTTATTCTAGTTATTTCACTCTCATGGTTTGGCTACCTGTCCTAAATAGAGATACTCCTTTGAAACTTTTAGCGTCTGTCCACTTATCGCAAAGCATTGTTTTCTGCCAATCTACAATAAGTAAATCTCTAAAATGAGTAAAAATATGAACGCCGACCATTAAAGGACCAGTGAACAGGCTCCGAAACGCGCAGGATAAGCTCGCGCATCTTTCCTGCGCGTGGCCAACCTCCTTCAACGCGCAGTGACGTCAACTCGGCGATCGACGACGTAGCACGCAGCTCTTCGATTGGTCTAAACCAGGTATCAATAAAGAGAAACTTAGTCTACGTCACCGATCGCCGAGTTGACGTCATCGCGCGTGGAAAAAGGATGGTCAGGCGTACGAAAGATGCGCGAGCTTTTCCTGCGCGTTCCGGAGCCTGTTGACTGGCCCTTCAAGTTTACAGCATCTCTTCCGAAGAAATGTTTCAACAAAAAGTGACCTCATGGGGTACATCACAAAAAAAATCACTAAGACCAGCTCCGTCTGTGTAGCGAGGCATTAGCAATTATAATTGGTGAGAAAATGGTGTCCTGTAACAAACAGTCACAAAGTCATAAAAAAATACGGGACGAAGAATATCATTTGCGCCGATAGCGAAAGGTCGCCGGGCCACGTATTTGTGACCCCTGGTTTATATTTTTCAAATATACTGCCTTGTGAATTCAATACAAATGGCATAATGATTATACCATTTATCTTGAATTCAGAAGACTGTATACTTGGGACTATTAATGACAAGCGCTTTGGCACAATCAGCGGTATTACAATCGAAATACCGTCATCTTTGAATAGTTCAATAAGGTAGTAAACATTATAAGCCAGCCGCCTAGAGAGATTCCTGCGGTCGTGTGTTATGACGATGTGAAATTATAGTTTCCAAGCGAGCATTCAGTTCAGCTGTTTGTCTTATTTTTCAACATGAGAATCACAATGATGTTGTGGGAAGTGAACAAAAAACCTGAAAATGGGGTTGGAAAGCGTCCAGTAACCATCACTTTTTTACAGACGGCAGTATACAAAACGCAAAAGCTTATACAGAACTAGCGCTGTGGAAAAGGGAGAGAGGGAGAACGCTTTATTGAAAAGCAGAGAATTTAGCCGGCATATATAAATCGCTGACCATATTATATCAACCCTATTTCTTCCTGCCTTTCTTTTCCCACGCTTCGCAGGTGATCCCGACCGTTACTCGCAGGTCAAGGAGACGCACAATGGCACCTACCTGTCCCAGTACGAGTGGAGTGTGCGCGACATGTACGCGCTCCTGCAGCGCTCGTCTGTCATGCACGGAGTCAACCTGGCGGGCCCCGACTTCTACACGGGCAAGCCCGGCTACCGAGTGCGGCTGGGACTGTCCTTCGGCAGGATCAATCCGTCCAACGGGGTACCCTACATGGGCGTCTGGTTCACCATCCTGCGCGGCCGCTACGACGACGCACTCGAGTGGCCCTTCCAGTACCGCTTCAACATCACCGTGGTCGACCCGTCGGGTTTGGGACAGGACGCTCACGTCTCCATGAACCCGATGACGGCCATCTGCCGACTGCGCAAACAGTTCCAACGACCCACCGAGCGCAGGAACGACGGCGTCGAAGGGTGCGGCAAGTCATTCCTCATTCCGCACAGCAAGGTGCTCGGGTATGTGTCCGACGACACCCTCCAGGTGCGACTCAGCATATTCCTCGAGGACAAGGGCGCCATTCCCAAGAGGGCCAAGGCCTACATGCGCGGTCACCAGCTCGTCTCCGAGTTTCAGTGGGCCGTGGATGACATCGACGCCAAGATCAAGCAGGCCCGCAAGGGTGAGCCGCAGCCGCTGACGAGCGACCTCTTCTACATAAACAGCGAGAGCTACCTGATGGTGCTTCAGCTGACCTTCCACTCGGAGGATGAACACCTGGGACTATTCGCCGTCGTCATTCCCGGAGAGTTCGACGACACGCTAGAGTGGCCGCTGTCGTACAGCTTCGAGCTGTCCATAGTGGATCAGTCGGCGGGCTTCCTGACCGCCGACCGCAAAGGCGTGATCGACCCGACCTCGGGTGTCTGCCCGCTCAGCGCGTTCACCAAACCGCAGTTCCAGCCCAACACACCGTGCGGCTTCCGCAAACTCGTCTCATTTAGTGCCCTCGAGCGGAGCAATTTCAAGAAAGATGGCAAGATTCTACTACGCTTCACGGCCATCCTTGACCAGATGCCAAATTTTGCCTCTGTGTCGGTGAAGGATCGTCACCTGGTAGCCGAGTACGTCTGGAAAGTGCCCAGCGTGGAAAGAAAAATCGCCCTTGCTACTTCAGGCAGGCCTTCGAACCTGCTGAGCGAGCGGTTCTACACCAGGCACCAGGGCTATCTCATGCAGATGCAGCTCAAGTTCCAGAATTATACGAACGGCAGCATAGGCGTTTTCCTCACGCTTCTAGAAGGCGGCTACGACTCTCTGGCACAGTGGCCCTTCGTGAAGCGCTTCGACCTCATCATCATCGATCAGCAGCACGGAAAAAGGGGCAATGATGTGGTGGTAGCCGTGGATCCAAATAACCCGTACATCAAGAACGAAGCGTGCGTCGGCTCCTTCTGGAGGCCATTCGGACGCAACGACGCGTGCGGGTCTTCTAGTGCCATTTCCTATGACGAAGTTTACAATCGCAAGTACATACGCTACGGAAGCCTACTTGTCAAGGTAGTCGTCTACATGGAGGAGATCGAGCCACCAAACATGGCAAGACTGGTGTTTCGGGACGACAGTGTCGTCGCCGAGTACGACTGGCTCGTCCCGGACATAAAGGAAAAAGTGGCACAGGCAAAGCTCGGCAACGCACAGTTTGTAGACAGCGACAAGTTTTACCTGACCAACGGAGGCTACCGCGTGATGCTGCGCCTTTACCCGGAGAAGGCGTCCGGTTATGTCGGCCTGTACGTAGTCTTCACGCGAGGCGCCTACGACGACGTACTCGAGTGGCCATTCACACACAAGTACGAAATGGTGATTGTCGACCAGAAGGAAGACTCCTCGACTGACATAGTGCACACGACGTTCGCGGCGTCCGGCTGCCCGGACATAGCACTTCAGAAGCCCACTCAAGAACTGGCCGAGTGGAGCTGTGGCGAGAGCCGCATGGCGAGCCACGCGGCGCTCCTGAACGGAGGTTACGTACGCGACGGTGCCATCCGCGTACGGTTCCGCGTGTTCCTCAAAGAATACGCAAGTCACGTGGCATCCGTCACTGTGCGGAACAACGCACTCGTCTCCGAGTACCTCTGGGAACTCAAGGATGCGCCCGCCAAGGTGAACCTGCTGCAGAACGCTGGCTTCGCCAAGGTCGAAAGTCCCATCTTCTACACGGGAAACCAGGGCTACGCCCTAAGGATGAGCCTGGTACTCAACAAGGTGACGACGCCGTTGCAGACTCTTGCCAGCAACGACGACCAGAGCGTCTTGGGCATCTACTTCACGCTCTGGAAGGGAAGGCACGACGCCGTACTGAAGTGGCCCTTCCCGCACGTCATCACGCTAGCCGTCGTCGATACGGCGAGTGGCCGGGCGGACCTCTCTAAGACCGTTGACCCGACACACGCGCGATGTCCGCTCGAGGCTTTCCACAGGCCAAAGACAATGCGCAACGACCACGCCTGCGGGTTCTCTGCCTTCATGGCAGTCGAGCGACTGGGCGATTACATTCGCGACGGCTCGCTGGTCATCAGGGCCACGATCGACATGAGAAGCTGACGGCCGGAGTGAAGTAGACACGTGAACTTCTTTCGTGTGTTTGTGCCATATCCATGTCACAGTATACAGATCTCTCAAGGCACGCGTTATGAGCTGATGAACAGACGGACGCGGCGCGTACTGTAGGCCACAGAGAAAATGCGTCGCGAGGACTGTGCCAATCGTGCGCTCATTCCCAAGCGTTTTCTCCGGAAGGTTGTTAGGACTATCTGCAAAAATGAGTGCGGAACTATGGCACTGCCCTGTTGTTCCATCGGAGCGGTTTGCTATTCCCCGATATCCGACCTAACTGCTCTGGCCTCCCTGTACCCCAGCTTACGCAATCGTAGTTCTTTCTGTGGATGTCCGCTTGCGTTGCCGAGCCTTCTCGCGAAAGTTCGCTTACTTACACGAGGGCATATTGGGAGTCGAATGAAACCATACACAGACAACACGTGCGCTACGTGCGCATGTTATAAAAGACGCCCGTGTGAACCCGCTTCGTCAAAGTATACAACACACTTTCAGACACAGTTGGGAGATCTAATCCCCAGCAGTTTCAAATGCAATGCGCCTATTCGCTTTCGCAGCACGTCTGCATCTGAGGAACACGAACACCGACAAGAGGAAAAGTTTGAACTCGCATGTCGCAGCAAGAGCGCGAAATATAGGCAGGGGGGAAAAATGCGCTTTCGATCGGGAAAAACTCTGATCACACCCGGCCTGGGAAGATTCACTCCGCTTAAAGCAGCGGTCCGGGGCTGCGCTATGGCCCAGAGCGCAGCCTTCAGTCACTCTATGTATATCTTAAAGAAGACAAAATTCTGCGAAGTGCTCATAACCACCTTATGCGGAACGAACAAAGTGATCCATTCCGGTAAAAAAAAAGGTAAGAAATAAAGGAAGATGAAGAGTGCAGGAAGTACTCCTACATTGCAAAGGCCAGAATGAATATACGGAGCTCAAACTTCTGAAAACACGTATGAAAGTCGAGCATCCTAAACGTGTACTGCCACACCATGCACTGGTATTTGCGTTAAACTCCTTCGCCAACGTGAACGAATGCGCGTTCTGTTTAGAATCACACAGAAACCAAAGCTGCAAGACTTTATAGAATGCGTGAACAAATAAAGAAATAAAAGCGCACTTGACTAACGCGTAAGTGATCCAGGTAAATCCCGTGGCTCGATAATAAAGCTCTTCCTGACGTGTTTGTTATGGTGCATTACGCACGTGAGAACTGGCGTAAGCAACGACGTTTAACCTAAGCTACAACCTTGTAGACGCAGCTATGGTATATTACATTGATAGCTCACTAAATCTATACCGCTATTCTGGACTCCACAAACGAACCTCTCATTTACTTACCGAAACACGGCCACATAATGCAAGCGCGTGCATGCAGCGGCCGTGGCTGGACATTGTGAAATACCGTTATACTGTAAAACTCCCCGCATAAGCGACAGTTCACAGCCTTATGACGTAGCTGTTACGGCCTCTGCTATTTTATAATGCCAACAGGGTTCGACCATAACTTGGGGTCGTTAAAGAATCTACAAACATAAAGTTTTTATATAGGGCGACGTCGAATATATACAAAAAAACACGTCATTGCCACAGGAAAACGCCCATTCTCCTGCACACAACATCTGCACCCACCTCAAAAGAGTCTCTACACTCCCCAAAATGTTACTTCAGACCCCCCCCCCCCCCCCCTGTCTATCCATCTTACAGACACAGGCACTCCACCACCACCTTGTCACCATCCCACGCGTCTTGGCAACAACTCCAAAATCAATATGCTGGACAAACCCTCACCCGCGATGCATGTGTCTTCGATAACAATATTTAAATGAGCGTTGGGGGATGGGGGGGAATGCAACCAATCACAAGCGCAGATAGCTGCTTCACTTTGTGACATAGCGCTTTGTATATTGTTAAGTCGACACATGCGCCTACATTTTGTTCGTTACGACGACCGACAACAGCACTGATTTATTCGACCGACGTCTGGGCCGCTTTACGAACCGGTAGTAGCGATTAAATCATCCGCGCGCTTACAAGTTTTCACATGAAAACGACTGCGAACGTAAAAAAAAAGAAAAAAAAAGCTCGAAGCGGTAGTTTTAAATTTATAGTCAATTTTTTCTCCACCTCGTCCAATAACTCAATACTTCATCAGACCTTTCAAAACAAATTATAATATATATATATATATATATATATATATATATATATATATATATATATATATATATATATATATATATATATATATATATATATATATGTATAATCAAGCTGGTCTCGTTAACGCATGTAACAAATAGTGAGACCATATCTATCTATATCTATCCATATCTAGTCGCGAACACGCGACCCGCGGCTTCGCCTGGAACAAAGTTAGGTGACTCTGCTCAATAGTATTCCAATGATTTTCTTTGTTACTTATTGGGTAAGCTACACAGACGAGAGTAGTCCCGCACTCCATGCGGTCGTTATTGGTAGCAACATCATTGTGGAACAAGAACTCCATATTTCCCAATCGGCTCTTCAGATTTTGATTCTTGTGCAAATCAGTATCCACAGGTTTTTCGAACCTGGCGTCAAATATCGTCCATAAATGACCCATACATGGGTTAAAGTAGTTATTTCAAATTCCAGCGTTTGGTGACATTATATGCATCAAACCCTCGTTGACCCCCCCCCCCCCCCGCCGTTATTATTTTCATTGTCCCAGCCCTTGAAGTAGTATATTTTGTGATTGCAGCCGCTAGATGAACTGTATTTGAAATCTCTACCATATATAATTCGGAACTAGCAACGCAGTTTTGTACTTCTTTATTTTATGGCACATGAATCGACTTGTCTTATTCGGACTCGCATGTTTCCTATTCATCAAAGAGATCGGGCGATAAAACTGCGAAGACCACCACGTGCTTCCAGAGTTGTAACAATGACAGACCTGCAAGCCACGTGCCGCGCTGTAAAAGGTCAAGGTCGGAGTATAGTAGGATTAAAAAGCTGACATAGGGTTCTGCCAACATCATCTTAATACATAAGAAAGGAGATGACAAGGACTTGAGGAATTACAGGCTGATCAGCTTGCTCTCTGTAGTATACAAGCTATTTACAAAGGTAATTGCTAACAGAGTAAGAAAACATAGAATTCAATCAACCAAAGGAACAAGCAGGATTCGAACAGGCTACTCAACAATTGACCACATTCATACTATCAATCAGGTATAGAGAAATGCTCAGAGTATAACCAACCACTATACATAGCCTTCATAGATTACGAGAAGGCGTTTGATTCAGTTAGAAATATCAGCCGTCATGCAGACACTGCGGAATCAGGGCGTAGATGAAGTATATATAAACATTCAGGAAGAAATCTACAGGGGATCAACTGCTACCATAGTGCTTCATAACGAAAGCAACAGAATACCAATCAAGAAGGGTGTAAGGCAAGGGGACACAATCTCCCCAATGCTATTTACAACGTGCATACAAGAGGTTTTCAGAGGCCTAGAATGGTAGTTAGGGATAAGAGTTAATAGAGAGTACCTTAGTAACCTGCGCTTCGCCGATGACATTGCATTGCTGAGTAATTCAGGGGACGAATTGCAACTCATGATTACGGAATTAGACAATGAGAGCAGAAAGGTGGGTCCTAAAATTAATCTGCAGAAAACAATAGTAATGTACAACAACCTCGGAAGAGAGCAGCGCTTCGATATACGTAATAGTCCACTTCAAGTTGTAGAAGACTATGTCTACTTAGGGCAGGTAATAACCGCGGAGCTGAACCACGAGATTAATATAACTAGAAGAATAAGAATGGGGTGGAGCACATTCGGCAAGCACTCTCAAATCATGACATGTAGACTGCCACTATCCCTCAAGAGGAAGGTATATAACAGCTGTATCTTGCCCGTACTTAGCTACGGAGCAGAAACCTGGAGACTTACAAAGAGGATTCAGCTTAAGTTGAGGACGACGCAGCGAGCAATGGAAAGAAAACTGGTAGGTGTAACCTTAAGAGACAAGAAGAAAGCAGAGTGGATTAGGGAACAAACGGGGGTTAAGGATATAGTTGAAATCAAGAAGAAGAAATGGACATGGGCTGGGCATGTAGCGCGTAGACAGGATAACTGCTGGTCATTAAGGGTAACTAACTGGATTCCCAGAGAAGGCAAGTGGGTTAGGGGGAGACGGAAAGTTAGGTGGGCAGATGAAATTGAGAAGTTTGCGGGTATAAATTGGCAGCAGCAAGCACAGGACCTAGTTAACTGGCGGAACATGGGAGAGGCCTTTGTCCTGCAGTGGACGTAGTCAGGCTGCTGATGATGATGATAGGGTTCTGAGATGCAGTAGTAGGGGGCTCCAATATTAGCGGTGGCTTTTGTGGAAAGTAGACATCGCAAGCCCCCTTCTTCTACCATCCCACCACCATGTTAACGCAGTTGGCGAAGCCCTGCGGTTTCCCACATTAAAATGCTAAGTGCATACGCGATACTAATAGTTTGCGCAAGACTATCTTCGACAGCTTTCTCGCAGCAGATAAGCCGTAAGGAGCTAAAAAACTAAAAAAAAAAACATTCACGCACCTGCTTTGAGGCGCTTTCCAGCAGTACTAGCCAAGAGAAAAACAGCCAGAATTTTTTTATTGCAATAGCAATTATATGAACATTCTCGGCTGGATTTTGCCGCCGGCGTCGGCGTCATGATCGCCATCACTCACCGTATATGTATACTTATTTGCATATATGAAAACGCAAGGAAGAAAAATAATTCTGAGACTCCAGCGCGTGGAATCGAGCGTGGGACCTCTTAAGTGGGTGCGCGAGGCATTAACCACAGAGCCATGAAGGAGTACCTCCTTCAACGTTCAAACGGCAAGCTATTTATATCTACCACTTTTTGCTGGCGAAGGGCATCTTAGGAAGAACTAACTTCAACATTACCAACAAGATGGCGCAATAAGCGCACGTCGCCACATCATCACGACGCGGCGGCGCGCGCTCTCATATCCCACGCATACTTTGCCCTACGAAGGAGGAGCAGGGCGGACGCTAACGCGCGCGCTTATCTCGCGGTGGGGACAATCGTACGCCTTGGCTGGCCTTGGGCTTTCACCGGAGCGATTCTATTGCAGTTACCGGGCGCACAAAGGTCACTGCAATTGTACCACAGCCTCCGTTTGCGAAAATGGTGCGCTTTTCAGACACAGCGAAGTAACAACTAAAACGCTTATTCGCGTTCATCTGCACCTGTGAGTACGTTTTATGCGTCATTTGTGCGTGAGAAACGCGGGGCACGTATCGATCTGCTTGTCATTCTGCGCTTGACCTTCCAATTTGTTGCTATCGCATTCATTGCTTCGCCTTTGCGGCAAAGCTGCGACTTTCTTTCGTGAAGTTTACGTAGTTGTGCATGTGTTTGTATTTTATTGATTGATATGTGGAGTTTAACGTCCCAAAACCACCATATGATTATGAGAGACGTCGTAGTGGAGGGCTCCGGGAATTTCGACCACCTGTGGTTCTTTAACGTGCACCCAAATCTGAGCACACGGACCTACAACATTTCCGCCTCCATTGGAAATGCAGCCGCCGCAGCCGGGATTCGATCCCGCGACCTGCGGGTCAGCAGCCGAGTACCTTAGCCACTAGACCACCGCGGCGGGCATGTGTTTGTATTTGTGCGCGTAAATTTCTAAATGAAAAATTTTAAAACTTCAGAAGCTGTTACCACCTCCTTCCCCTCGTTTCAAATGTTTACCCAAGTTCATGTTATATATTTATTTAAGGCTACTGCGACTCAAAAAGAAAGGCCCCTTGTGCTTTCTTTTCTTTGTTTTAGTTTTTACTCTGCTACATAATGTGCTTAAGTTTCTTGGTGCTTAGCAACTGCTCCAAAACAATAAGTAAGCACCGTTTTATGCACTAATCTTCTTCATGTAGGCTCGATGCCGCTGATAAGGGCATGCCGATAAAAAGCCCACCAAACGCAAGGAAAAAAAGAAGAAAAGAACTGTGCCTCTTCAAGACAAATAATGTGCCTATCTACCACAGCAACAATGATGGCACAACGAAATTTTAGGGTCAAATGTGAGAATATGCATACAGGTGTAATACAACCCCTGAACATTACCCAAAACACCCAAAAAATTATGAACGATGTGGAACATTAGTTTGCATGAATAATTAGGGGCAATTTTATTCTTGCATGGTAAATGCTGCCGATAAGCGCATGCCAAAAGATGCCCACCAGACTAATTTGCTAAAGCTACCATCACACGAAAAAAAAAAACAATGACAGTAGGCTATATATGGGCATTTAGGTAAAGATGTGAACTGGACACATAAATTAAAAATTAAAGTGCCTACAACATACACACACAGGGGCCAATGCTTCCATCAGTTCCTTGTTAATCATCATATTAAAACTTGTACAGCGCGCAGACATCACAGCTAATTGAGTGTATCAGTGTGCATAGTACGCATAGCGAAATATGTGATGATACATATCTGTTGAAATTTGTAATGCTCAAATGAATGGGTCCCAGTAAAGCCCAACACTAGCAGTTGTGCTGCACCACTTTTACTATTTCCGTTTGTTTGAGCACTGTAAATTTCAACAAAAAAAGAGCATTATAGCAATAAAAATCTTGCTCGTGGATTTTG